TTTCAATTCTGGATGGCGCTATCGTTTCGATTCTTAGATATCAAAGAATAAATGAAACAGATTAAGAACGGAAAATTATTCTATTATTCTAAAACGAATGTTTTTGCTATTTGTTAAATTTCAACATTGACAAATTATACAAATGATGATAATGATGAACAAACAAGCAAACAAACAAACAAAAAATGGTGCAAAGGGGGATGCAATTCGAAAACAAAAAACAACATCAACAACAAAATTCTTTTGGAACCTAAACTAAATAGGCCAAAAGAAAAAGCTGAAACTGTGTATGAGACAAAGAGAGAGAGAGAGAGAAAAAATACACTGCATCACACACCTGGTTATATTCACATGATCTTTTTTCATTTTCGATTTCATTTTCGTTTTCTGGTATCATCAATTGACGTCGTCGTCGTCGTTGTTGTTTGTTATTTTTGCAGCTAATACCCCATCATCCATTTTTACATTTCACAGAAAAAAAACGAGTCACTTGACGTTTTCTTTTTCTTTTTCGTTTATAAAATTTGGGAAAAAAACGATGTTTGACACGACACGCTATGATCACATATCCAATTGATGATGCTGACTGCTGCTACTTTTGATTATCATTATTCTTTTCTGTTTTTTGGTTGATAGTTTTTTTCTTTTGGCCATTTTGTTATATTAGATTCAAATGATTTGATGAAACATTTTGTTGCTGTTTGTTTGGAATCGATTATTTTGTCCATTATCATTATCTAGTTATGTTTTGAACATAATGATTATTCTAACAATGACAAAAAAAAAGAAGAAATTCTTGAATCTTGTTTTCAACAACAGAAAAACAAAAAGATTTAATTTGGTTGTTGCTGTTACAAACAGGAAAATGATGAATAATTTTTTTTGGTTCGGGAAAAAGAATAATCAACTTGAATTAGTCATATTCGTTCGTGATGTTGTTGTCGATGATGATGATGTTTTTGGCAAAAACAAAATTCTTTACTTACAAATTATTCCTGACAAAATAATGATCATTTTCGTAAAGCCATGGAGCTTAACACTTGGCCAAACAAAACAAAAAAAAACATTCAATTCATTTTCATTTTTGGCAAAAACGAGTAAGCGAGAGATACGGTAAAAAAAAGTTTCCATCATCAAATATTACATAATATTACACAAACAAATTCAATGATGATGATGATGATTGAGTAAAAGTTTGTAGAAAATTTCGAGTACGAAACAAACCATCTGTATATATTTTTTTTAGTTTAGTTTACATTAGAATCATCAAACGAAAGCAAAGAGCAAAAACATTCATTCATTCATTCATGACTGTCATTCATTTTTTTTTTCGGTGTTGAATTTGTATTTCGGAGAAAAAAAAGATGTTTGATCCTATGATTTTTTTTTGTTCGTTCGGGATGTTGGAAAAAACAAGGACCGAAAAAAAAGGTGAAAAACAAACAATGTTTGATGATGATAATGCCTTTTTTTTTGTTGTTGTTGTTGGTGGAAAACAAAAATTTCAATTATCAATTACAAGATGAACAACGGTGATTGGAAGAAAAAAAAATATTTGTAAAAACAAACAGAATCTTTTTTGGAAATCAAACTTGTTTGGATTGTTTTGTTTTGTTTCTGTTCTTTTCTTTCATCGACAAATATCAAATATCGATTTGGAAAATGAGAAAAAGAGAAAATCGATTTTTTTGTGTGATTGAAATCGGAAATCTTATCTTTTTCTCTTTCTTTCTTTCAATATAATATAGTCTCAATGTCCAGTTTTCGTTTCAATTTTCTATGTTTGGTTTGGTTTGGTTTGTTTGTTGTGTTGTAAACGTTTTTTCGTATTTGGTTCGATTGTTGGAAATGGATGCTCCATTTACTTTGGCGAAAAAGAAAAAGAATTATCAGATTGAGATGTCATTGAAATTGATTCGCTTGATTTGATCGAGTTTTTTTTCTTTTTCTTATTCTTTTTTTTTGGTTTTCTCTGTTTATTTCATTGATAGATTCATTCGATAATCGAAATGATTTTTTTTTTGGTCAATTTCTATTTGATTGATCATTTCGTTTTTCTCTCTTTCTCTTCATTATGATGGTGGTTACATCAAACAGAAGAAAAAAACTATATTTCCAGGTTAAAAATCACCTATACACAACCTATTAATGATGGAAATTTTTTTTTGAATCAGCCAAAATTATTGAAAAATTAAACTCTTAGTTATAATCAATTACCATACAAAGTATTACTTGGAAATAATTCTTAAATTTGCCAAAAGAAAATAAATAAACTTTTTGTTCTTCAAAAACAAAAAAAAACGTGCTCAAGTTGAAATTCTTAATTTTGAAACAAAACAAAAAAAAATCCTCATCATAATCTTAATTAATGAGATACTTTTCAAAAGAAACATTGTTTCGAATGTTTCAACAAAAAAAAATAGATTATTAAACAAACAAACAAAACAAAACAAAAAAAAACTTTAATAAAACGACATTGAAAACAAAAGAAGAGTAGAGAAAAAAATGTACAGTAATTCTTCACACCATTTTCTTTCCATTTTGTTTTTTGTTTTCAAACAAAAAATATTCACCAACCATAATCATCATCATCATCATCAAGATTCTTGTATAGCATCAATTTAAATTTTTTTTGCTTTGTTTTGTTTTGTTTTGTTTTGTTTTCAATTCATCTGTTCATTTTCCCATGTATACTAATTATTATTATTTAGAAATTTCTCTTTTTGTTCGATTCAATTTCCATGATGGAATTTGATCATTTTTTTTGAAAAACAAAAACACCAAAAACACGAAAAAAAAGTATCAAATAAATAGCCAATCAGTCAGTCAGTTTTAGTAATCAGAATTTTCTGATTATATAATTATATATAATGAAAATTCTTTACAGAATAAATGACCACAATTCTGGAAAAAACAATAGAATCTTATAACATAGAATATATTGACAGGTCAAATGTGGGCGGCTTTTGAACACACACACACACACACACACACACTTGAAATGTACAATTTGACTACATTTTTTGACACATAGACATTTTATGAATGCAGAATTTTGGTTTTTTTGGTTATTTAATCTTTACTGAATTTTTCTTTCATCAACAGCATCATCATCATCACATCATAAACCCCCCATTCCAAAACAACAAAAAAAACCAATCCAACAATGATGATCCATCATAAACTTACTAAATTGTCGGCAAAATTTAATAACAATAACATCATGACAGCATCATCATCATCATCACCATCATCATCAACAACATCGTTCACAATTGTAAAAGGATCATCGAACGCATCATTTGTTTTTAGTATTTTCAAAACGTTTCCCCCATCTCAGTTTCCTCCAGTTTTCTATAGGATAAACCGTTATGTTTGTACATCCATTCATTCATTCATCCATCCATTCATGTATAGAGACCATGTGGCTTTATTCACACAAATATGTATCGATGATTCGTGAAGTTACTGAAATTTTTTCTTTTTTTTTTTGGTTCTCTTTCATTTTCCAGTATTTTCATTTGTTAATATTGTTCATCGTTGATGAAACCAGAAAAAAAAATTTCCAGTTTTTTTCCCTTTTGACAGGCCTTAGATTTTTTTTTTGTTGTTGTTGAAAATAAACAAAATAAAGTTGGTGAGAATTTCAATCATATGATGGTCATTAATTGTGTGTGTGTATGTGTGTGTCCATTTTTACTACATACATTAGACTTTTTAATTGATGACTCTCGAATGAATGAATGAATGAATGAATGAATGAATGAAACAAACAACAAACAAAATCGGTATTGTTGATTTGGATATAGAATATATTTCAGTGTAAATTTTTCTCAAATTATGTTTCTCTTCATTAGCTAAAACAGAGTTGACGCCAAACAAAATTCCAAAGAAAAAAAAAAGAAGTAGAAAAATATTCTCTTGATGATTCTACCATATTGTTCCATATGCAAGACAAAGATCCCGCCTCTGGAACCAATAAGCCAATTGGTCGGGCTAAACACAAAAAAAAAAGAAAAAAGATTTTTCGTTCTTTGTATATGACGTTCGTGTGATGCCATATAACTTGATGATGATGATGATATCTCCTCCTATTTTATTATTCCACTTTTGGCTTGATGACTGTGTGATGTGTTTGGTATTGGTGAGTGTGTGCATCATACTGTATATTCTCGTATATAAAAACAACGAATACGACAATGAAGGCTGAGAAGGCAGGTCTCACATTTTATTTTATATTTGCTTCTCGTTTTTTTTTTCAAAAAAAATATTTCTCCATTCTATTTCATTAGATAAGAATTATTGAAACACAATCTAATGGTAAAAGAAAAACAAAACTAAAAAGAATATTCTATATTACTTAAGTTAATCAAAAAGACAAACACGAAGCACAAATTGAATCACACACACACATACATTGCACATGTATTAGTTAAGAATAAAGAAATATTCTGAGATGACTCTGATGAATGATCAAATACATCAGATAGTCATCAAGTCGAATCATTCTTTTATATAACGATAGAAATCTATGGATAATCGTGGTACCCCTTTTCTATGATCTTACCGTCACTTGATAATAATAATAACAAAAAGGAAGAGACTAGATAAATTCATGTATGTATCTGGACCAACCAACAACAAAAACAAAAAAACAATCAGAAAATTTTACAATCATCATATTCACATTCATTCATTCATTCATTCAATTGTTCTCTATACAGAATATTATATTTTCATCATTTTGGGCGGATTGTTTTGTAGACCGCCCCTTGACGTTATAATCTAATTTTTTTTCCTTTCGCTGTTGTTGTTGTTGTTGCTGATCTATTTCATTATTTTTTTGTTTTGTTTTGTTTTGTTTGGTCAGATAACGTTTACGAAATCTAATAAGTGAACAATCCAAAAACGGATCGATCTTTTTAACTTGTTATCATTTTTTTGTTTTAGTTTTGAAAAGAATTTATGATTTTTTTTTTGAAGATTCATATTCTGAGTATCGTTGATTCATCATCATCATCATTAATTTGATTGAAAATTTTTGATTAACTTTTCGATTTTCAATTTTTTTTATTTTTGACTTTATAAAAATGAGACCAACAGAAAAACGTTAGTATTTATCGAAATTTGTTACAAGAATTTATTCTCATTTTTTTTTTTTTTTGATTGAATGAAATAATAAAAAAAAGGTGAACGTTTATTAGATATACCGTGTGCTGTTTGTGGTGATCGTAGTTCGGGTAAACATTATGGTATTTATAGCTGTGATGGTTGTTCCGGATTTTTTAAACGTTCAATTCATCGTAATCGTGTTTACACGTGTCGTGCACAAGCCGATCAACATGGAAAATGTCCAGTTGATAAAACACATCGTAATCAATGTCGTGCTTGTCGTTTACGTAAATGTTTTGAAGCTAATATGAATAAAGATGGTAGATATTGATTTATATATTCTGTTTGTTTATTGTTTACTTTCAAATAAGATTATACACCTGTTTATTGTTTATCTGTACAAAACAAAAACAAAAATACTTATTTTTTTCAAAAAAAAAAAAAAATGATTTTCATTTATTTTGGATCATTGTTTTTTTAATAGCTGTTCAACACGAACGTGGACCTAGAAAACCAAAATTTTTAAAAGAAACAATTAAATGTGGTTCTGATAACAATAATAATAATAATCATCATCATAATCAAGTCACGACAACAATACGATCTTTATCAACATCAACAACAACTACAGCTAAGGTTACAACCACAACAACAGCAACAACAATAGGATTGGCTAATGGACATTCGATAATCTGTAATCATTTACCTGGAACAAATATCGATAATGGTAATAAAAAATGTTTTCGTCTATTATTAATAATGATATTGATTTTAATTGATAAATATAATCATCGATTTTCAACAATAAATTAATATTTATTACATTCAGGTAATTCTGCAGGTACTACATTAGCACAGTCAACAAAATCGTTTATGAATTTGGAAAATTTGACGACAAACACTCATAATAATCATCATCATCACTATGACAATCATCATCAACAGTTAACATTATCGACTGAAATAACTTCTGATCCTGGATCGTTTATAATACCAACAACAACAACAACAACAACACCATCATTGTCATCGTCATCAATATCGACCAATAATAATAATTGCCAGCTGCCAATCGATTCAACAACATTAAATTCATTAAGATTATTTGATGGATCATCGAAAACATCATTTGCAAACCTGATCAATCCATTTGCAGGATATAATCATTTTGATTTGTTAAAAATAAATTCTGGTAATAATATTAATGATCTTTATTATATAATTGATTTTATTTACATCATTAACTTTATGACATTAAATTTAATTATTAATTAATTAACGAATTTTATAATATTTTTTCTTACTTCATTAGAAACAGAATTAATGATGAATTCATTAAAATTACCAAATACAATGCATTCATCAAATTTGAATTGGATTCAACAACCACAACGTAACAATACAAATGGATTATCCGAAAAGAAAACACGAAATAGTAGTGGAAAATTACGTAATAGAAATAATAATCATCGACATCATCATCATCATCAACAACAACAACAACAACAACAAAATGAATGTGATGCTACGATTGTTGTTGATGGAGATTCTAATAAAGATAATCCAATTCAAGATAATGAATTTACAAATAATCTTAGCGAATTGTTCGCATGCTCTAATTTAGTGAACAACGATAATAATAATAATAATAATCTTTATATTGATTCATTGAATCGTATAAAATTTTATTTAACTAACCAATCAAATCATATTAATCAATCAATTATGACCGATCCGGTTAATCTTTGTTCATTGATGGTAACATCGCCAACAATATTGAATGATATGATAAATTTTGCTAAATGTGTATATCATCAACAACAAAATATTCAACAACAACAACAGCGGCAAGATTATCATCACTCCCATCAATCGATTAAACCATTGTTACCAACATTATCGCCAACTATTTCTATATTACCATCATCATCATCATCAACAACAATTATAAGACCAACAACAACAACAACAACAAATAATGTTTTATCAATAAAAAATCCATTTATTACAAATGGAAAAAGTTCATTGAATAAAGAATCGAATAACAATTTGAATACGAAAACAAATTGTTGTTCAATTTTCAATGATATTCATTCGTTAGCATCGAGTAGTAATAATAATAATAATGAATCGATCAGATTTTCACAAAATGGTCATCAACAATCCGGATCACCATTTGAATTAAATGTTAATCAAATTCAAATTGAAGGGAAAGATATGTCCAATAATCAACATTATCATTATAAAAAAGAAACAAAACGACTTTTATCCGAAATGATGAATATCTGTACTAAAGAATCTTCAACATCATCAACTAAACAACGTGTAAATGATAAAAAACGTAATAATCACCATTATCATCACCATAATCATCATTATCAGCAACATACGATCAAACAGACAACATCAATGCGGCATGATGAAAATGAAGAACAATTTATTTGGAATAATAATAATAATAATAATAATGATGAAGTTGAATTTGGAACAGGAATGATGCAACAATTTATTAAAGGAATTGATTCATCATTAGTAATGAATTTATTCAGTGAAAATAAATTCAATTCATTACAAGAAATTAATCTTCGATTATTAGTATTAACAATTCAATGGATTAAAAATATGCCATTATTCATACGATTAGATAATAATGATCAGGTAATAATTTTGAAAAATTTTAATCATTTTTTTTTGTTCATGAAAAATCTAATCAAAAAAACAAATTAGCGTTCATTGTTTCATGATTCTTGGAAAGAATTGTACATCATAAATCTGGCTCATTGGACAATGACAATGAATGCTGTCACCTTGGGCGATCATTTTGAACAGACCGTTGAATTATATCTGAATTCATTGATTGATCAGTCTGATTTTATCGATCCGATTGAAATAAATCACAATAAAGATAATGATAATGATAATAATGATGATGATGATGACGATGATGATGATAAATCAAAAACAATTGTAGATCATCATCAAAAATCATCAAAATCATCGATACATAATACAAACTCAAAATTGAATATCAAGTTAGATATACAAAATATTAAACAAATAATCGATCAATTCAAACAACTACAATTGGATGGTACTGAATGTGGATGTCTAAAAGCAATTGCATTATTCAATCCAGGTAATGATAACAAATCATTTAGCAATTTCTTTAAAAAAACATTTTTCCATTTTTTTCATTTCAGAATGTAAACATCTGATTAATAAACAGGATCTATTAAAACTTCAAGAACAAGCACAATGTTTGTTAATTAATTATACGAATAGAAAATTTAAATTACAACATCAAAATGGTTTGACGATAGATGGCACAAGCGGACATAAAGAATTTGAAAATCGTTTTGAACGAATGTTAATGATGTTACCATTGTTAAGATGTATTTCAATTGAATCAATTGAAGATATATTTTTTAATAATTTAAAAGGACCATTGTCCATTCAAGTGCTAATTGAATGCATCTATAATCAATAATGATTATTGTAATAACATACACACACAAAACAAAAATGATTGTAGTGAATAACGTAGATTTTATTATTATTATTATTATAATTAGAAAGAGATCATTATTATTATCAACATTATTATCAGTAGATAGAAATGAAATTGTCATATGCAATAAATTGATTGATTATCAAAGTTTTTTTTTATAAATTGCCAATAAGACTAAAATGTTTAAATTTTTCCGGAATGTTATCACGAAATAATACAGGATCGGATCTATAATCGGAAAAGAAAAAAAAATTAAATCTAAATTAATTAGTTAAAAATTTCAAATATCTTACCGAAATTCAACTGCTTTTAATGGCATCATCCGATAAATCTTACTGAAATGATCGATACATCGTGAACGTAATTGAAGATGATGAACAACATCGGTGGATAAACTATTTGCTTTGGAACATTCGGGACATTTGAATTTTTTTCTCGGTGTTACTTTGATGGGTGCTTTGCCAGTAACGTTTGAAACAAGAAAATTCATAGCGATATCTTCACAATTCATATTATCATCAACCCATTTACGTATGGTTTCGGGCATGACATATGTATAAAGATAATTATAATAATGATGATAGAATGCCGCGCCCGTCAATATCAATGAAATTTTATTTTTCCATTCGGAATCGTATGTCCAAGATTCGGTTAAATTATTCCATAAATGTAACCGCGATGGGAATCCAACAATACGATCAGGAAATTCACGCCATGTTTGATAAGAGAATTCGATTTCATCCGGATTCAACATAGTTATATCATCATCGATGGCGAAAATTGCTTCGGTTTCGATAGATGCATATGGAAAAAAACGATTACTCAATTTATTCTGATTAGTTTGTATGACCTGAATGGGCATAGAAAATGGTGCCCATTGATCATTCAATGGTGGTCGTTCATTCTGATTGTTCCAAACAATTAGAATCTTTTGACAGCCAGGAACTCGAGAGATTGATGAGACCACATGAAATAGGCTATCCAGACGATTGTATGTGAGAATAACGGCAGTAAAACCATCAGAAATTAGATTTAAATTTTTTGGGCTTATATAATTGAATCCTTTGGCAAAATAATCATACGATAAGGGAGTCAATTCTTGAAATTTATCAGCAAAAGTTGATTGAATATTGCGGGGTTTTGGATAAACTCGTTCATTAATGATGTCCAATGTTGTAAGTGCAATGTTTTCAACATTTCGAAAAAATCGATTCCAAACATTCAATGCATTCAACCGTAATTGTTGTAAACGACCAGTTGATGAAAGTGAATCAATTATTTCAAATAAATTGTTTAATGATCTTTCCCGGATACGTAAAGATATTGTTGTCCAATCGATACGTTCTTGAAATGGAAGAACATAATTATCATCCACAATCACTGGAATACAACCACTCATTAAAATATCGGTCAGTAATGGACCAGTTGGAACGGAAGCCGATGGCATTATTAGACAATATTGAGAGTCATGTAAAACATCCAGATAACGCTGATAAATATGTCGATCATTATTACAAATAATAGTTTTTTTATATGAACGCCAGATATGCTTGCTGGATTCATTTCGATATTGCCAAAATGGTAGCTTGTTTGATTTAATAACTTTTACAGATAATGAGCAATCGAATCCAAATAGTATCATTCGATTTGAATAAAATGATTCTAATCGTAATAATGATTTTTGATTTTGTTCAGATATCACACTCATCTGAGTGGAAACAATTGTCCATTTTCGTTTCTGTTGCATCAATTTGGAAACATCGAATTCATATGGTTTCAAATTTGGCCATGATTCGTAAAGTTGTGCAAATAGACTATAAACCGGTGTTGCTATATCAAAATTCAATCGATAGTTACGATCAGTAAACATTCCACTGGCAATCATTATTTGAGGAAAATTTGGTAGCCAATTTCGTTTCAAATGGTATTTTTGATTTATCATCACAAATATCAAATGATTCGTACCATTTGTTTGCTGAAAATAAGGCAATGACCAAAGAATTTTGTTTAGGACAGATCGATCAATTTCTTCAGAATTTAATGTATCAACATTTGGAATGAATAAACAAGCTTCGTGAGGTTTATTTGTATAATATGGACTAGTAACAATAGCGCGCAGAATTCTTTGATATTCTAATGAATGAGAAATGTTGATAATTTGATTGTCATTCATGACAAATTTATAGCTGGGATAGACAAATATTTTAATTCGTTCTTGTGGAACATTGTTCTTTAATTGTTTAGGTAGATCAAATGGATTATAGTTGATTAGACCACATCGATATAAATCAAAACATGAATAATGGGAACATTTTTCAGGTTTTTTTACCGATTTATCAAATTTTGGTAATTTCACCAAGAAAATCTCTGGCGATTCTGATTCATGACGAAATATATCATCAACGGTAACATTGGTCGATATTGCTTCATTATCTCTATGTACAAAACCATAAGAAATGTAAGTTTTACATATATAATTCAGTGATGTTTGTGACGAAAGAATCTTTGTGAGTTTTAGTAAAATTGCCAATTCGAAATAGCCATCAACAATAAATACAATGAACAATGTAATCAATAGTAATATAAACAAAATGACAATGTATGAATGACCAGAGGATTGTCCATCATGACGATTCGATACGGAATTATCGGTGCCATTTTGATCATCACTTATAGGTATTAACTTTTGAACATCGCTTTTGTCATCAATCTTGTTGACTAAATTGGATTGAAATCGAGAGAACATTTTCTCAGAAATTCATTGGTAATAATATTAAAGAATATTGTTTGGAAAATGAAATTTTTTCAAAAAACTCTTGAAAATGCAGATTACCCATTGAGAAAATTGGATTCGCAATTTTTTCAAATATTTTTCCAAAAAGAATTTGAAATCGAATGAAAATAAACAAAACTCAGGCAAACAAAATTCGATGAGCTACATAGGTCAAAATAGACATGAGCAGAACTTTTATTTTCAATACAATTCTTTGATAACATTAATATTCGCGTTGAATTTTGGTAATTTGAAAACAGAATTGAAAATCGAATGATTTTTTAAAAAATGATTCTAATTTTATTTGAGATTTGTTTTCATTGGATAAGTGAAACAAAAAAAAAAATAATAAGATTGATGAAATTTTTTGAAAAAAAAACTAAATTACATTGTTTATGAACATGCCCATGCTTTTGTTGATATTTGAGTGTGGGATTGCGTGAGTATCCAATGTGACATTAAAGCTAAATAGAAAAAAAATTTGTTACAATACTTTTATCTAATTGTATATTTTACTCGGCTCATGTGATTTGTAAAAATCTTCGATTTTGTTTGTTTGTTTTTTTGTTTTCCTCAACGGGTTTGTAATATAATTTAATAAGTCAAAATTCTTGATATGGACAGTTCGATCATGGATAATCCAATTAATTCGTTAAATGGACTAAATCTTCCATCATCAAATAAAAGCACATTTCAATCACCATTTTTACAAGTTGATCCCACCATATTTCGTTCACCCGATGTGATTTCATCCGAATTTATATTTCCGGATGGTGGAACAAAACCAAGCCGTGGACGTTTCGAAATGGCTTTTTCGCAAATTGGTGGTTCAATTATGACCGGTGCTGTGATTGGTGGTGCCATTGGAACATATAAAGGTAACCGATTGTTTTTAGGAATGATAAAATCAATTATTGTTTGTCATTAAAAAAATCTAGGTCTTAAAGAGGTGGCTCAAATGAACGAATCGATTGCAATTAAACGAAGTCATATGTTAAATTTTATTACACGAAACGGTGCCTCAATCGCTAATACATTTGGTAGTATCACCTTGGTTTATTCGGCTATTGGTGTTGGCCTTAGTTTTGTACAAGATGACAACGATGATATTAATACAATGATTGCTGCAACAACAACGGGAACATTATATGGTGCTATAAGCCGATCAAAAGCAATGGATAATGTACAAGGTAATAAAATTGATTCATTAAAAATATTCATTTTAAAAAAAATGGAAATTAATACAAATAGGATCATTATTAACACGAATGCGTTTGAAACGAGCTGGATTTGGTCTTACATTTGGTGCATTAGCTGGTGCAGCATTGATCCTTCTACTTAATCCGGATAGTAAAATGATTTCACAATTAAAACATCGTTAATTTTTTTTTCTCATTCTGGTCCCACATTTCACATTTGAAACAATGAAAACAAAACGATTCAAATCCTAAACAATTCTTACACATTTTGTATACATATATAGAATTCGATTGATGAAATTTTTTCAATAATAATTTATGACGCTGTTTATAATTTATAATATTAATAATAATAATAATAATGATGATGATGATAATTAACAAATTTAGTAATTAGAAGCAAAAAAAAAACAAATTAATCCAAATTAATTAATTAAAAAAAATTGTATTTTTTTATTCAAAAAAAAAAATGCACTGTAATTCTATATCTTAGGAAAAAAATTCAACCTTGATTAGGGGGATTTTTTTTCCAAGAACCAAACTAATATTTTATTCCATAATCATGAGACAAAGTAACAGTGTATATGAACGACAACAACTGTGTGTGTACAGAACAGAATATATTTTTTTTTATTTATTTTCATTAATGATGATATTAAAAAAAATGAAATTGCAAAAAGAAAAAATGAATGAATGAATGGATCAACTCTATCATTCGATTCATTATATCATCATCATTATCATCAATGATATGATCAATAATTGATGCTGATTATCATCATTTTTTCATTATTATTGTATACGATATCGGTTTAATGTGGATTAAAATTTCAATTTTGTTTTTTTCAAATACTCCCATTATTTCCATTTGATGGTATGTTGATATCATTTTTTTTTAATTGTTGCTATTGTGTTTGTAGTTGTTGTGGTGGTGGTGGTGGCATTTGTTGCTAAACACACACAAACACAAACGCTAAATTGTTATTAAATTTTTTTTCCGTCGAGAAAAAAAAATCAATTGTGAAATGATAAATGATGAACGCAAACGTCACCAAAACAACAACAACAACAAACCTAAACGTGAAATTTTGTTGTTGATTCTATAACTTCGAAATGACAATATTTTAAATTAATGAGAAGCAAAAGCAAAAGAAAAATTTATTTAAATTAAGAATTAATTAATTAATTTTTTCCCCCGTAACATTCTGCTCATCCAAATATATATATCTTCATCACTAAAATCTGTTAGTTAGTTTGTTTGTATGTATGTAAACATCATCACCACAAAAAAAAATTGACCAATTGCAAATTGTAAGTTTTTTTTCAAAAAAAAAAAAAGGTAAATTGAATTTTATTTTCAAAAGCCATTTAAATTCTTTGGTGTGGTTTTTTCGAGCAAGAAAACGAAAAAAAAAAACAAAATTCATACTCGAAACACTCATAAACAAGAAATTTATAAAATTCAATTTTTTTTCCTAAAGAATTTAACATTGTAAATAAATAAACGGTATTTTTTATTTCGATATCAACAAAAACAGAATATGACAGATGTTTTCATTTTATTCTTTTTTGTTGTTGTTGTTGATATTTTTCAAGTGGAAACAACATTTTATGGAATGGCGACAACAACAACAACAACGATGATGATGATAAAAGAGGGAGAAAGAAATGACTTGTAACACATTTTTTGAAACATAAATGAAAAATGGCCATTTTTTCGATTAGTTTTTATGTGTTTGTGTGTGTGTATTTGACTGATAAACATTTCGAGAAGAAATAAACCAGAAATAACAACAAAAACAGCAATAATTTTAAATTTTCAACAAAAAAAACTATTGAATGAATGAATGAAAAGAATAAAAAAAAATCGATTGATACGATATTGGAAATCTCCATCAATTGTATGTTTGTTAAAAGCTGTTGTTGTTGTTGATGGTTGATAATCATTATCTTGATTCTCTCTTTTTTTCTCACTTATCACTATAGATATTCTATATTCTAAATGATAATATTATTTTCATTCAAATTCTTTAATATTCTATGATTGATCCGTGTGTGGTTTTTCATTCAATTCAATTCAATTCAATTTAATTCCTGCTTAATCATCATCATCATCAGAATATATAAGCCATATAAACATCACACATAAGCATCATCATCACAAGATGTCTTTTTTATTATATAATATTTCTTTTAGCTGTCTTACGAATAATCCGATCATCATCATCATCATCATCATCGACTAAGTGAAAATCAATTTTCAATTCATCTTATCATTGTAATATTTAGTTGTATTTGATGATGTCGTTGAATTTTTTTTCACTAAAAATTTTCGTTTTCTTTTGTCATTCATTTTTCAGTTATATCTGGTGTTTGTGTGTGTATTTCGGATTTTTTTCTTTCTTTCATTTGTGGTAAAGTAATGAAGAAATATAATATTTTTTCTGCTGCTGCTGCTGCTGCTTCAACGATATTCAAAACCGATCATCATCATCTGCAACCAGATAGGAAAAGAAAAAGAAATGAAAAAAAAAGATAGATAGAAAAAAAAGTCTTGAAAGATTGATTCACTTTTTTTTCTCTCTCTCTCAACTGAACTGTCAAAAAATATTCTATATTCTTTATATGTGTCTCTGCTGTTATCGAACATCAATAACTCATCTATTTTTCTTTCTTTTTTACTCATAATCATCCATTGTCAGGAAGAAGAAAAAATATGAAAAAAAAGAAGAAGAAGAAATATTGAAAGAATCTGGGGATGTCAACGAAAAAAAAAGAAAAATTTCCCAAGTCCCTATTGCCATTTTTTTCTATTTGGCGGCTGGCTATGGAATTGCCAATTTTTGATGATGATGATGATGATGGTGATAATAAAAATATCAAGTATGAAAGAAATGAAAAGAAATTTCCCAAAAATTTTATTCGGTTTTTTGTATATTCATATAATGAATGAATGAATGATCGAACAAGAATCGATTTCCTTTAACCGGTGTTTTGTTTTGTTTTGTTTTTTGTTGTTGATGGTGTTAGATCATCATCATCATCATCATCATTACTCTTTCATTCATTCATTCATTATTTAACACACAAGACTTTTTCAATCATTTTGTTTTTTATTATTTCCATTTTTTCTCCTACTACTACTACTCTATCCTAACACCTACACCAAAAAAGTACACAAATTCTTCCAGAAACACAAATAAAAAAAAAGAGTGTTTTGCTGATTTGTTTTGTATTACAAATGAGAATTTGATCGGTATTGTATTGTTTATTATATACCAAAAAAAAAACATCATTAGATAATGAATCTATGTGAATCTAAAACAAAACTAAAAAATGATTATGGAACCTGTTTTTATTATAATAATCATCATCATTTTGATTTGACTATTTTTATTTTGGATTTTAATTTGAAATGTTTTGAATCTGTTTTCGATATATTTATTATTATTATTATTATTATTATCAAAGCAAAAGTCAATAAAATGATTATTGATTTCAATTAGCAAATTAATAATATGATCGTCTACTTATATTGATATGCTTGAAACAGAATTTTTCTAGTCTAGTCTCTTAAGGAATCTTATTTACTTGCTTAAATTATATTCTTCAATTGAATTTTTTTGTTACCCAAATAGAAAAAAAAGAAGAAAATCAATCTCATCAAGTTTTGGTGTTCGATTTGTTTGTTTGTTTATTATTATCAGACTTTTTTCTCAGTTATTTAGCCTTAGTTTTCTTTTAATTTAATTTCTTATTATTTTATTTTGTTTTTTTTATTTTCATTCGCAAGTTTATTTTTATTACAATTTTATTCTGATTCTGAATGATTAAGAATCAAATATATTAGGTACAATTCTAATCGATTTTTTTTGCTTAAACAAAAACAAAACAAACAAACGAAAAATGATAATTTTCTTTTGAATGAAAAAAAATCAATTTAACCAAATGAAAATTAAACAATAATTATTGTTTGCTGTGTTTCTTACTTACTGTGATTTTATGTGATTTCATTTTTCCATTCTTAATTTATGATTCCATTCATTTAACAAAGGTCATATATTTTTTTTTAATATTGACATTTGCAATATTCATTATAATCAGAAAAAAAAATCTGATACTAGAAAATGAAAGCAGCCAAAAAAAACGAATAAAAAGAATATTCTGTTCAAATTAAATATGACAGCCAAAAAAAAAATCACATTCATTTTGGTGTGAATTTTTTTTCTGTTGTATGGATTCCAGCGTGGTACACACAGTATTGGAATTCAATTCATATTTTTTTTGATTTTGATTTTCAATTTTTTTTTCTTATATAACAATGTCTGAGAAGCAATAGAAAAGCATTAATGTAATTCAAGTTTTTTTTCATGCATTCATTTTTCTTGATTCTTTTTTTTTGGTTGAAAATATGCATTTGGCAGATTGGCAAATGATCATGATCTTTGGGTATATAATAATATTTAAGTTGGAAAAGGGGATGAAATATGAAGGATATGAAGGAAGAAATTTCCTAAACTTTTCTTTTTCCTATGTTGTTGATGATTTGATCCACTCACGATGATCCCGATTTTTGTTGTTACCTCTTTTTTTTCATATCGATACACAGATTATGTTCAAATTGAGAAACTAAAAATGAAAATTTTTTAAAAATTTTCGTCATCGTTATTTGTTTGTTTTTGGGCCTACAGAATCCAGAGAATTTGATGCTTTTTTTTCGTCATTGGTTGTCTATTTGAAACCAAAAATTCATGATTTTTGGATGATGATGTCATTGATGTGTGTATTTTATCAGATTTTTTTTACAAAATGTTTGTCGTTTTTTGTTTCAACATTGTCATCGTCATCATCAATAAACAGATCTGGTTTCTGTTTTGTCGTTTCCATTTGGGTACCATTTTTTTTCTGTTTGTTTGTTTAATCATTAAAATCTATGTAGTGACACTTAATACTTTTTTTTCAAATGTGTAACATCATCATCGGATGATGTAACATCAACATAATGAACATTTTCATGATGACATGTATTTGAATTTTACCCTTCAATTCTTGTCGTCATTTCCATATACAAATACATTGTCAGTTACTGTGTGTGTGTTAGTTAGTTAGTTAGTTAGTCAATTTTGGTTCTATTATCAGTATTGTTTTCTCACTATTTTAACCCAAAAACTCAAAGATATAATAATATTGATTGTGATGAACATTTTTGTTGTTGTTGTTGTTGTTATTTGAAAGCCATGATAGTAAACGTGACCCAAATATGTTGTGTGTGTGTGTGTGTGTGTGGAACAAGAAAACATCAAGCAAAAGCAAGTAAATATTAGAAACAA